GGGTTGTATTTGTTTTGGATGGCTGTCAAGGCTTCTTTTATTGGCACTTGGGTGAAGAGGGATATGACATCGAAGCTTACTAGTAGGTCGCTAGGTTGTAAGTTTTTTTTCTTTATGATCTCGATGAACTGGAATGAGTTTCTTACGTGTGAGTTGATGGATTCTGCATAGGGTTGTAGTTGTTTGGCGAGAAATTTGGCCAGGTTTTGTAGAGGTGAGCCTATGGAGCTGACTATTGGTCTGAGTGGGGTTCCTTCTTTGTGTATCTTGGGGAGGCCATAAAGCTTGGGGCATCTGGATGATTTCTCTCTGGGTATGATTCTTTGCTGGATTTCTTCACTGATGGGGGAGGTTTTTATTTTGGATTTGGTAGTTTTTTCTAGGTAGATGGTGGGGTCTGTCTTTAGGGGTTTGTATGTGGGGTCTTGGAGTAGGTTGGTTAACTTGGTTTGGTAGTCAGATGTGTTCATAACCACTGTCGCGTTGCCCTTGTCTGCTGGTTGGATTATTATGCTGGTGTCTTCTTTCAGGTTAAGTAGTGCAGTTTGTTCTTCTTTGGATAAGTTGCTTTTGGGTGGTTTGCTAGTGCAGAGGATGTTGGTATATGTGTGTGTGTGTGTGTGTGTGTGTGTGTGTGTGTGTGTGTATATGACTTTAGTCAGATATATATGTATGGACGAGCATCCTTAAAACTGCTATGACTAAGAAAAGCTAATAACCAAATAATTCATTTAGCTAATCAGACCCTAGTTTGGGAAAGACATTTCCAAGACTGGAAAGTCTATTGTTTGGAAGAAGTAAGTGGCACACTAAGGGGGAAAAAAGCAAAGTAAGCTTCTCTCTGTTGGAAGGACATCTTTCTGCACATACAGAGCCAAGGGAGAATAAAAGTCTTATGCAAAACAACTAAAATTTCCTCCAGCAAAGTGATTTATTCAATGAAGATTATCTGATTTCCTTTGGCAAAGCAATTTGGGTAGCCTCAAACTGGATCATTGATGAAGTAAAAAAAAATGGATCATTGATGAAGTTGGAAAAAACATTTCTCAGCCTTCTCTAGAAACATTTACAAAAGCACTTCAAAGTGGGCAGCTTCAAGATAGCCTAAAGCATGTGCCAAAGTCACTTAGCCTAGAAAGCCTTTGTGTGAGCAGATCATTCAAGTTGGGTGATCCCACAATGCTTTCTGATGCCGTCAGACGCAAACATTTTCACTGGGTATCATGTGTGACTGTGAATGATATCTATTGGCCAAAGAAGTTCCTCCTGTGCACCTGTAAATTTGTTGCACAGACATCCTACTTCACTCCAGCCCTACCTCTGTTTTAGCTTGTTTGTTCTGCTCTTGTGAAGAGGGGTGTATGTGTGCCAAAGTGGGAAGAAACCATTGAAGATATTAAAGCCAGTACCCTGTGCATGACTCTAAACTCAAGATACTCTGTATAGATGGAAGCATGAATGAGAAGCAAAAATCCAAGTGAAGAAGGAAAAACAAAGTCCAATTGCCTTTTGAATAAACATCTTTGGGACAATGTTCCAATGTTGGTCAAAAGTTATATTTTTCCTCCCTTTCTCAAAAAAATTAGAACCAAGGACCAACCAATGAAATGGATTTGGGAAAAAAAACAGCATATACTTGTGAAATACATACAGTAATTAGCCCATGGAATTTATTGCTACACAATAAAGTCACAATGAGAGTATCTAACCTGGATTTTTAATATATAATTTAATTTTTACTAAAGAAACATTAAATAAAAAAAATAGATAAAAACCAAAATATATCCACCTAAAATGATAAGATGTACCTTATTGTTGTTCACACTTCCAACATAAATTGAGGTGGCTTTATACATTCTAGACAATTTCTCTGGTGATACCACTTTTTTCTATCAGTTATTTTTGCTCTGCCATCTTCATAATTTTCCTAACATTTTCCCTTTTCTCATTATTGATTTAAAATCCACTTAATGCACCCAAATCCTTTAAGTTATATTTATTCTTTCCAAGATATTTTCCAAAAGATATCACCAAATCATTGGCAAATACCTCTAAATTAGGGCTGATAGTATTTAATATTCATTGCTCAGTATTACAGTACTGAGCAATGAATATTAAATACTATCAGCCCTAAATTACAGGTATTTACCAACGTTATTGATACTTTAACATTCTGCAAATACACATTGCAGAAGAATTGTTTCCATTTTCTGCTGTGAGGATTCCAAAGCCATCTGATTGACCACTGTAAGAAACAAAATCTGAGTAAGAAGGTATATGGCTTGATCCAACAGGTCATATTCTTATGATGGATTCTGCTTAATTGGATATGTTCAGATGGAGGTTAGCTTACCATTTTTCTGGGATATTTTAATTTGGATTTCTGCACTAAGCGGGAAGTTGATTTAAATGGTCAAAGACTCATTCAAACTATATGGTTCTAAAAACCTTAGGTTCTCCTAAGAATGCAATGATGACTTAAATCTGCAAAAATAAGAAACTATGTTCCATACATTAATACCTTAATTGTTTATAACAAAAAGCGGGGGGAGAAAGCGAGTTGGAGACAAATCTCATAAATATGCAGGGAAATTAACCGATCTGTCCTCTGTTGGCTGCTGCATTCCAAAAGGTGTCTGTCCTCCAAAGAGGAGAACAGCAAAGTTAGAAATATATTGTAGAAAATAGGTTAACAGAGTGAGTGGGAAAATAAATTAAGGAGGAAACAATACTTGCATACTTAATAAGGCTAGTGAAGAAAGATCTAATTTTATTGCATATTGATAAAGGACCAGACATTCTGGCCTGCCAAATTTTAAATATTTGCCAATGAATTTAGGTGGACAGAACTCTGAAGTGATACTGCTAGTCCACCATTCAATCTGTTGCATGGTTTTTCTTTATGAGATAGACTTTGTTCTATTTAAATATTCTTTCACACTATTTTTGCCATCTGTGAATGATAAATTTTCTAAAATGTATATATAATTCAGTGTAATGAAGGCTGTGGTCTGCTTGCTTTTGCTGTCCCTTTATCATGAGTCTATGCATTTGTGCTGGTCTGCATGTCCAGAAAACACAGCATAGGCTGCATAAACTACACTCTTGGACATATGACTAGGAGAGATGGTGGAGGAGAGGAGGGTAGGACAATTTCCACTACTTAGTACTCTCTCTCTTCCCCTCCCTTAAGGATGAGGTGGGATCTCAGGTGTTTGTTGTCGTTGTTCTAACTCACAGCCAAACATGATATATACTCAATGTCAACATTTATTTTTCTGGATTCTCCCCTATTCCAAATTTGGTATTTTTCTGTTCACATTTTGGAATGTTATCCTGAAAATTAGGAAACAGAAACTGTCTTAAGCTCCTTTATGTAATTCATTCCAGCAGCCCTTTAAAAGAACAAAAAGAAATGGCTCAATTTTTAAAGAAATTAGAAACACATTTTAAGTCTGAAATTTAACTATTATATTTATTTGAAATTTTAGAGGCAAGATCCTGTAGCTTTTGATAAGGAATTTGAAGACATATCCAGGAACGTGCTTAATACCAGATATACTTTGCTTCCATATTTGTATACACTAATGTATGATGCCCATGCCCATGGTAGCACTGTTGTGCGCCCTTTACTTCATGAGTAAGTATTGGATATTCTTGAATGCAACTATAGGAATACTCAGTATGAAATCATTCCTATGACTGCACAAAGCATTGCCATTTATAAAGCTATCTGACTAAAGTCATTTATTTTTCCTTCAACAGAAGAAGTTGAGATGAGCTTCTTCTTTGACTCGCTTTTTTCTGGGGGGCAAATTATTATACAATTTCTATGTTACGTTATAATAGACACAAAATACAATTAAACATAATTAAATATCTAAATATATATTATTCAGTGAATATGAATTCTTACTATTAATATTATTTAAAAAAAATAAAAAGAAGCCTCAAGTTTGAATATTGGTTTCATTCATATCTTTATCATTGTGTGACATTCAATAGGAAAATTCTCTCTGAAATGAAGAACCATCAATAAGTGACTTTTAATTAATTAATGGTGTCTGAACTTTCAAAGCCTAGTTTTTGTTTGCAATAAAATAACATGTCCTTTAAAAGAAAATGTCCTTCCTTCTTTAAAAAATGTCAACAGGTTGGAAATGTAATCTCAGAGCAGCTAGATCTTTCAACATTTAGAACAGTCTTTTCAAACCAAGTATATATAAAAGCATTTTTGGTGTACACTCAGGTATTTGATTTTTAAAGAAGCATAATGTTCTTATCGCTCTAGATCAGATAGTTTTGGATAACTTGAAGTAGATGGGCTAAAGCTTCTGATTAAGTTTTAATAATGGAGGAGGAGGAAAAGGAGGAAGAGGAGGAGGAGATGATAATGATGATGATGATGATGATGACTAAGGTTTTTATAGATAAAAAACAGAGCCAAAAAACTGAAACTAACCCAACCCTGCTCTACATATTGATTCATTATACTACTTTTAGATTTACAGATGACAAAGCAACATGGAGTATACATGAGCAGTTTCTCTGGGGACCTGTATTGCTCATTAGTCCTGCACTACATGAAGTAAGTTGAGAGGGAAAAACAAAAAGTAATATGTTTGAGTATATTCATATTTTATTTCATACTAATGCATCTATTTAAATGTAGAATGTTACAGAAGTGGAAGCTTACTTTCCGGATGCCTGCTGGTATGATTATTACACAGTAAGTAACATTTCCTCCTTTTACTTGTCTTTTTACTCTAAATTTTAGAACAACCTTTTTTAGTAATAACTTTCTTCTTCTAGCCTCAAATTTCAGTTGAGTTCAAGAATAAGAGTTTGATTGTGGGGGGGTCACTGAACTAAATACTGATGGGAATTTGAATCAAATGTTAGGAAAACATTCAAGTTATCCAATAAATGTGAAAGAGATTGTGACTTTTGGGGAGATGGGGAAAACAACATGAAAAAAATATTGTCTTATTTACAAATAGGATGAAAACATTGGCACAAGGCGACAGCAAAGAAGATTGCCAACTCCTCTTAATCACATCAATCTTCATCTTAGAGGTGGCTATATTATCCCATGGCAGTTACCTGGTTTAAACACCAACGCCAGGTATGAGCAATATGTCACAAAATTGGTAACTTGTTCATGAATTTTGTATTGAGAAGTTGCTTTTTTGTTTTTGTATAAAAACAAAACATTCAAAAATATAAAAATCCACATTACAAGATAAATATTATAAAATATGGATTGTGTTATAATTGTTCACTGCCCAAAGTCACTCGGTTGAGATAGGCCATTATAGAAATAAAATAATAAAATAGACAGATATTATATCTTATCTAAGTGTGGCTAGAAAACAGATTCTTATGAAACCAACATTCTCTATTTCAAGTTAGAAAAATGATGAAACTAAATCAACTTTCTTTTTTTCCTTTCTCTCTCTTTTTTTTGTTTAGTCGAAAAAATTTAATGGGACTTACAGTTGCTTTAGATGATAATGGGGCTGCTCAAGGACTTCTTTATTGGGATGATGGAACAACAATTGGTAAATATAACCTTGATAAATTAATCAATAGTTTTAATTGGCTTACAATATATATCACTCCCCATAGCATGAAAACATACATTGAAGATATACTGAATTATAACCTCTTAGAGTTTATATAACTGGATGACACTGCACATAACATTTCCCATGGATTTTCCTATTGAGTTCCTGGGTTTCATGGTCAAACTGATGTTCTATATCCATTTTAACATGGTTTTAGGCCTTGGTCACCCTATGGGATGATCTGGGCTGGCAAAAGGTTTTTTCATGTTGCTTCTCCTGGACTTTTGAGTGGCATTTAGTATTGACCATGCTATTATCCTGGACAGATGGACTTGAGATATGGGAACAATATGGCACACATAATGATTCCACTCTACCTGAATGGCCTTTTCTAAAAGGTGATGCTAAGCTGATTAAAATTCTACTATATGGTGGTTGGGTTATTTATTTATTTATTTATTTATTTATTTATTTATTTTATTTGGTTTGTCAATTGCTTACAAAATAATAAGTATAAGTAAAAACATAGTTATGAATACATGAATACATACAAGAAAAAAAAAGAAACAATAGGACAGGGACAGTAGGCACATTGGTGTACTTATGCATGCCCCCTACAGACCTCTTAGGAAAGAGGTGAGGTCAATAGTAGACAGTCTAAGGTTAAAGTTTTTGGGGTTGGGGAAAGAAACCACAGAATCAGGTAGAGTATTCCAGACATTGATCACTCTGTTGCTCAAGTCCTATTTCCTGCAATCAAGTTTGGTGCAATTAACCTTGAGTTTGTATCTATTGTTTGCTCTTGTATTGTTACGGTTGAAGCTGAAGTATTCATTGACAGGTAGGACATTGCAATTTTATATACTAAGATTGGACCAAAGGCAGCACAGTTCTAGGTTTTCTATGTCTAGAATTTCAAGTCTGATGGCAAAAGGTATTCTGCAATGAGTAGAGGAGTGGAGAACTCTTCTTGTGAAATATTTCTGGACTTTCTCAACTGTATTAATATCAGATATGTAATGTGGGTTCCAGATCGATGAGCTGTATTCAAGTATTGGTCTAGCAAATGTTTTGTATGCTCTAGTTAATAGTGTAATATTACCAGAGAAAAAGCTACATAAGCTTAGGTTAACAACTCTTAATGCCTTTTTGGCCAAGTAGTTACGTGGGCTCTAGCACTTAGATCATTAGAGATGAGTACTCCAAGGTCCTTTACAGAGCTTGGATCATCAACAAGGTCTTGACTATTCAGCTTGTATTTTATTTTCTGATTTTTTTTGCCAATATGTAAGACAGAGCATTTATTTGTTGAGATTTGAAGTTGCCATTTGTTTGACCATTCTGATACATAGTCAAGATCTTTTTGAAGGGTATTGTCTATGGTATTGAACAGCTTTACAACATCAGTGAAGAGGACGCAGTTGCTCTTAATATGATTACAGAGGTCATTTATGTAGAGTATGAAGAGAGTTGGTCCTAGAACACTGCCTTGGGGGACACCACTGTTGACAGGTACAGAATTTGATAGGACGCTCCCCATTTTGAGCATTTGTTGTCTGTTTGACAGGAATGCTTCTATCCAGTTATGCAGGTGTCCAGAGATACCATAAGATTTTAGTTTTAGGAGTAGGTTGAATCAAAGGCTTTACAGGAGTCTATGTAGATTGCGTCTATTGTTTTGCCCTGATCAGGTTGTGTAGTCCATATGTTTTTGCAGTGTAAGAGTTGCAGATTACAAGATAGCTTTTTTCTGAAACCAAATTGTTTATTAGAGAGTAGGTTGTTTGTCTCTAAGTGGAGGATAATGGATTGGTTAATAATTGATTCCATGACAGGTGATGCAGAATAAAGAGATTGGTCTGTAATTTTCAACTAAGCTGGGGTCTCCTTTTTTGAAGATGGGGATGACCGTGGCTTGTGACCATAGTTTTGGCATGGAGCTGGTTCTGAAATTTTTTTTCAAAGATTATGATTATGGCAGTGGATAGCTTTTTAAAGAGGTAGGCACACCATCCGGTCCAAGAGATAGAGATAATTTTAGATTGCGTAGTGCTTTTTCAACATTGTCTTCTGTAAAATCGATATGTATTAGATCATTGTAGTTGTCTGTGGTTTGACTTGGAAATACTGGGCATGATCCATTGCTGTTTACAAATACTGAGCCAAAGAATGTGTTAAAGAGTTTGGCTTTAATAGTGTCATCATTGCAGTCTTTACCATTAGGTCCTTTCAGGGGTGGGATGGACTTTGAGTCTTTTAGTTTGTTGTTTACAAAATTGTAGAAAGCGCGGGTGGAATTGGTGCATAGAAGGTTTTCCTCTTAATGTGATAATTGGTGCATTCAGTCTTTATGTGGTGGCATATCAGGTTTTGAAACTGGCAATGTGACCAGATTTGTTTTTCCACCAAAGTGATCTCTTTTTGGATTGAAGTTTACTTATTGCTATGGGTAATCTGTTTTTATTGTTATTGGTACATATAGTTTGATGACTCTTTTGACTTCAAGCAAAAATATGTTGTAATGGTCTTCAACAGTATTGTATTCAGTGAATAGACATTGCCAATCAAGGAATGACAGATCATTGTTTATAAGATCATAGTTTCCTTTTTTGAAGTTATAATTCGGGATCACATCATTGTGTTGACATTTGTGTGGACATATGTTGAGACAAAAGTCAATCATGTTGTGGTCACTGTTGGAAAAGGGTTCTTTAATTCGTATTCCATAAATTGAATTCAAACTATTGAAGAAGATGAGATCGAGGCAGTTGTGAAGTTTAGTATTGTTGGTTACCAGTTATTCCAGTCCCAGGTTTGTTACAGCATTGTAGAAGGTTGCATATATGGATTCAGTTTTACATTTGTTTAGGGTCCAGTTAATGTGAGATAGATTGAAATCACCAAGAAAGATAAAAGCGTGTGGGCAGGATGCTGCCCATGTTGGTAGTGAATTTAGCTTGTTTACATGTTTGATGTCATAATCAGGGGCTCTGTAACATAGTAAGAATCGAAATATAATATTTAAGGACAGTTCACAGACGATGGTCTCAAGAAGAGCAAGCTCTTGGGTAACTTGGATGTTTTTTAAATGTAAGGACTTTTTATCGAAGATAGCAACACCACCTCCTCTACAGATTTCACGATCTGATCGGTAAACATGATAGTGTCTTACTGTGGTAATGGAGAGATGCATTGAGGGAGAGATGCTTTGAGCCATGTTTCACAGACAAATATGATGTCGAATTTAGCCATATTTAATAAGAGGAGAAATTCAGGCATTTTATTCACAAGGCTTCTTGCATTGAATAGCTTGCATTTAAAGCCAGTTGTAGTTGGAATTCATGTAGTTAGGGGTGTGCTTGCCTAGTTTTGAGTGATGGTGAGTTGGATGAGGTAGGGTTGGATGTGGAGTTGCCGCAATCCCACAGCTCGTTCATTCCCCGAGTCGACTTCCTTCTCCCGAGACCAAGCAGATTCTTTAGACCATATGGAATACCTCAAGCCTCCCTTTCATCCTTCATGCTTTTAACATCTCTTTGAAAGTGCTGAGCGAGATCATCTGGGGATGTAGGCTGTCATACTGTCATTATGTGGGACAAAATGCTTTTCATCAGCTTTAGCTAATTTACTACCTGCAACTTTACTTAGGATATTGGTCCGAACCTAACACAGCAGAACTGGGTCACAGGTTCTTCTGGGTTCAAAACCAATGAACACACACTATGAATACTTAAGGCTTTATTCCATGAAAATATAAGAATATAATATAGTGAAATAACGTATAAAAAGAATGAAAGAACATTCAAGATTATGGAAGAATTCAATAAGAGTGAACTTATGCCCCTTTTGCCAGTCAGGGAACCCCAAAATGCTGATAGTGGGTGGACCCTTTCAAAGGTAGCAAATATGCAGTGAAGTACTTCTGTTCCATCCCATGGGAATTTTTACCTGGTTTGTGTATGCAATGAATATCATTACTCATATCCCTTTTTGATGGTTTTATCTTATTGGACTTTGCAGTGATGTGATGGCCTAGAAGTAGAGCTCCCGCCTCACAATCAGGAGGCTGTGAGTTCGATCCTAGATAGAGGCAGATATTTCTGTCTCAGGGTACACTAAGAATATATCTGCTGGGGAAAAAAACCTCTGCATTGGCAACAGGAAGGGCATCCAGCCAGTTTACACTCAGCTCCATTCATTTGCCCAGTCTCCACCCCGCAAGGGATTATGGGCTCATTAAAAGAGGATGATCTCATTAGACTTTGCAAAGGACAGATTGAATGTTAACAAAACAAAGGAGATCATTATTGGTTTTAGAAAGAGATGGCATAGTCATACTCCCCTTTGTATCAAGAGTGCAGTTGTGGAGGTGATCAATAGTGTTAAGTATCTGGGGGTGCAGATTATCAAACTGACTTGGTCTCTTCATATATTATCTTTAATGAAGAGTGCAAATCAGTGTTTGCCTTTCCTGCACCGGATGAGGAGAGCACATCTTTCTGCTCTGTCCCGGCCACTTTTTACAGAGGCACAATTGAGAACGTTTTAACAAACTGCATCATTATTTGGTTTGGTGGCAGCAGTGCCTCACATAGAAGGGCTTTAAAATGTTTAGCAAAGGGTTCTTTGTTTGGTTGTTGGGCGGGCGTGGCCTAGTCGGCCTCCTGCACCATGGTGGTCGGGAACATTTTTGCCCTCCCTGGCCTCTGGAGGCTTTCCTAGAGCCTCAGGGAAGGCAAAAATGGCCACCCTGGGCTCTAGAGGCTCTTTGGAAGCTGCAAATGGGCCCATTTCTGGCCTTCCTGAACTTCCAGGAAGCTGTTTTTGCCCTCCCGGGGTCTCTGCGTGTGCCCTGCACTTATCTGCATCCAAAACAGGCTTCATGGGGACTCCTGGGAGAGGCAGGAAAGGGTGGGTGGGTCCAGTGGAATGGGATTTGGGGGTTCTCCAAACTGCACAGAACCTTAGTGAGGGGCTTTCCTGAATCTCTGTGAACTCCCAGAAGCCCATCCCTGAGAAGGTCCATACAGAGAGTAGTAAGGACAGCTGAGAAGATTATAGGAAGCTGACTTCCCATTATTTAGGATATTACTTGTAAGTGCTATCTGCTTAGAGCTTGAAGCATTGTGAGAGAGCTCACGCACCCACTTCATGGTCTGTTTCTGTTGTTCCTGTATGGGAGGAGGTCATGAAGTATCTTTAGCAGGACTACTAGATTCTGTAATAGCTTTGTTCCTTATGCCATCCATCTTGTAAATTCACAAGATTTTTTTTTTCCACCATGTATATATTCAGACTAGACTGTTACGTTTCTCTGTGTTGCACATGTGTTTGTTTGTGGGTATATGCATAATGGTTATCTTTTGAGAGCTGAATGCAATAAATTTTCATTTTAATATATGCGGCTCAGTGTACATTTAAAGTGACAAAAAGTTTCTATTCTGTTCTATTCCACTCTACTCACTCTATTCTACTCTAATCTACTCTATTCTGACATATTCATTTTATCTTGTGCTTATAATGTTTTGTCAGGTGGCAATGACGCTATCTCAAGGTTAAGGAATGCCTGATTCTTTATTTTAATATTTTTTATTTTATTTTATATTTTTATTATATTCTTTATTTTTAGTGTGTTTTGATGTAAACTACCCAAACACTTTGTCTATTGGACAGTTTAAACATTGAATGAATATTGAATGAAATGGTGTGAAACAGCATGTCAAAACATAGATAATACAATAATATATATTGCTATTCTTTTATTATAGATGCATATGAGAAAGGACTTTACCTCTTACACACGTTTAATGTCAGCCAGGTATGTACATTTCCTAGGCATTATTTCCCAATTGAATAAACCAATATAGGTAGTCATCAACTTACAACAGTTCATTTAGTAGCCATTCAAAGTTACAATGGTGCTGAAAAATGTGACTTATAACTGTTTTTCACACTTACAACCATTGCAGCATCCTCATGGTCACATGATAAAAATTTGGATGCTTGGCAACTTATTCATATTTATGATGGTTGCAGTGTCTTAGGCAGGGGTGGGATTCTACCAGTTTGGACCAGTTCTATAGAACCAGTTGTTATGATTCTGTGCAGTTCAGAACACTGGCAAATCACGCCACTAACTGACTCCTCCCCCCTCCTGTCAGATTTCTGGTTTCTAGCTAATCTAAATCACTGTTGTACTGCTTTGCCTTCACCTAAGAGGCTTCCCTGAGGCCCTATCAGGGGTGGTATTCGGGGGATTGGGAGGTGTGGGAGAAATGGCCTGAGAGCAGAGCCGAGCCTTCCTTAGGAGTGAAGTTTCTATTTTTCAGTGCAGACTCAGACAGCAGATTGCAGAAAGGTAGATCTGTGAGTGAATCTATGATTCTGCAAGCAACTCAATCTGCTTTGCCTTATTTTGGGTAAAAGTTGCTCTTGTATACATACATACATACATATATACATATATAAAACAATATTTACATACATATTTACAATGTTTATGTACAAGCCACACCCACACAAGCCACACCACCAAGTCACCCCCAGTCAGCAAGCCACACCCACCCAGTCACATGACCACCAAGCCACACCCACAAATTAGGCCATGCCCACAGAACTGGTTGTTAAGAAATTTGAATCCCACCCCTGGTCTTAGGGTCATGTGAAGGTCACCTTTTGAGACCTTCTGACGTGTAAAGTCAATGGGGAAGCCAGATTCACTTAACATGCTACTAAGTAACTACTAACATGCTACTTAACATGCTAGTAACTTAACAATTGCAGTTATTCGCTTAACAACTTTGGCAAGGAAGATTGTAAAATGGGACAAAACTCACTTAACAATTATCTTGCTTGATCTGGAAGATTTATATAGAAGCATTTTGGGTCTATTGTGATTGTAAGTCAAGGACTACATGTACAGCTAAATCAATTATGCTTCTATATAAATCCTCCAGATCCAAACAAATATCACCGAAATGGTTTCTTTGAATCAATTAGTTGTCAATAACATTTGTACATGTCTGTATATGACACAGAGAGCAAAAGAGATTTTTTTTTTCTCTCAGATTGTTTTCAAACTTGTTGCTCTCTCATTTTCATAGCTTTTCAAGCTATACAAATCCTTTTTAGATCTCCTTCCATAGCAACACGTCCTATCATTTTTACACCCCATTCTTCCTGTTTCACCATTAGATGGAATACATTTCAGGACGGCACTCATAAGTGATTAATAAAATTCAGGTGTAACATGCAAAATAATATTGTCTGTGCAACAAAAATTAGTTGAATAAGAAAATTACAAGTGAAACAAACAATTTACCGAGTACGTTTAAACATGAATTTATTTGTTGTCACCAGGGAGTGGGGTGGGTAGGTTATTGCTTTTACTTTTTGTGCAGTGAGTTTTTATTTTTGTAAGCCACTCAGAGTCATTAAGAGTAAGTGGGTGGTGATATAAATTCTCTTAAACAAACAAATGGAAAAGACTTACTGATTCAGTTCTTACCTGCTTTCTAGACTCCTTTTTCTAGCATGCAGTCATTGTGTTCAAAAAAAATCAGTGGGTTTCATGTTTGTGTAATAGCTATTGGCATGGCAAAATAATTTTTGTTTGTTCTTGCTAGTTAATATAATTATGTCACTATATACAGTACATATACCCTTGAGGTAGTGCTACTAGGGTAGAAAGAATAATAAAATTGTTATTTCAAGATATTTTTGAGAATGCTATTTTTTCGGTTAATTTGATCCATTTGTTGGCACATAACATTAAATTTAGAAAGCAATACTTTGCAATCATTTGCTGAATTATAATTCAGAGATAAGTGAATGACTGCTTCTTCTCATAATAGTGAGAAAGATCTTTGCTTTCTGGTGTATGCCAAAGAAATATTGAAATATCACAAAAACTTGAATCACTCCAAATGTCTCTTTATCAACTTTCCAGTGTTCAAAGCCTTCCTAACCACTATTTTCTCCCTTTCCTGTTTCAAAGCTTATGCATCTAATAGATTCTTTTCTTTCAAACTACAGTTGAACAGTTGAAGAAGGTCCAGAAGACTTGTTTTTGCTAAAGCTTTCAGTCTAAATTTAGATTTTCCAATCTGATATAACTGGAAGATCTGTTTGAGGCTTTCAGGTTAAATTTAGACTCATGGCACAGTTCTGCAATGTAGCGTACCTGCAAAAAATTATCTTTTGTCCTCTTGAACACTAGGTGTGGGAGATGTATTTGAGAATGGGCTGTGTTTTCTTATAGTTTCAATCATGGTTCAACAGGATGTGAGTTTGGATAATAAATATACAGGTTATCCTCAAATTACAACCATTCATTTAGTGACTGTTCATGGTTACAATGGCCTTGAAAAAAGTGATTTTGACCATTTTTGTTTAGACTGGATTTGGTATTTTCATCCACTTATTTATTAAATTTATATTTTATATTTATATTCTGGCATTTTTATCTCCATACTGTAATTATTATTTACAAAATAATGTGAAATCACAGTGCCAATTCTTTAGGTGGTATGGCTTTCATAAGCACCAAATTCTTCCCTGGAATCCAGGATGTCATATTACTATTATTGCCTTTGAGTCAGTATTGACTCTTAGCAGCTTGGACAAGCCCTGCAGTTTTTCTTGGCAAGAATTTTAACATGGTTTACTGTTGTCTTCTTCCTAGGATTATGAGAAAGTGACTGGTCCAAGCTGGCTTTGGGCCTGAGGTAGAATTAGAACTCTTTATCTCCAGGAACTAGCCTGATATCATAACCCCTACAGCAAATTGGCTTTACCTTTTTAAATTTAAGTCCTTGAATTATTAATTTGATCAATTTAGTAACATACGAATTCAAATATGATTGAGGAATGAACAAAATAAAGATTAATTAATTTATCACAAGCTATCTTGCTGAAAGTTTCAGTGATGCAGAATTTTTTTACTGATGTCTTAGTAATATAGTGAAAATACAGAACTATTTGTTCATATAATGATCATATAATGTTAATCAGTGTCCATAGTTTTCATTTATACTAGAAACAATTATACATTATTTTTGTGAATGGGTATAACATATTAAGAAGGAGGAAGATGAGCAGTTAGGAAACATGAAAAATAAACAAACAGGATAACAGAGTTGGAAGGGACATTGGAGGTCTTCTAGTCCAACCCTCTGCTCAAGGAGGAAACCCTATACCATTTCAGATAAATGGTCGTCCAATCTCTTCTTAAAAACTTTCAGTGTTGGAGCATTCACAACTTCTGATGGAAAGTTGCTCGAACTGTCAGGAAAGTTTTCCTCAGTTCTAGATTGCTTCTCTCCTTGATTAGTTTCTGTCCATTGTTTTTGGTCCTGCTTTGGAGAATAGGTTGATTCACTCCTCTTTATGGCAGCCCTTTAGAAATTGGAATGTTGATATCATGTCACCCCTGGTCCTTATTTTCATTAAATTACTAAATTCCAGCAACCATTATATATATATATATTTTGCCTTCAGTCCCCTAATATCTTTGCTGCTCTTCTCTGCTCTTCATTGCTCTATAAATAAATAAATAAATAAATAAATGCATACATACATACATACATATATGCATACATACACAATAATAGAAACTATGAAAGAAGAAAAAAACCTTACCCAATAATAAGAAACAAGCCATTAACTATAACAACTATAAGGATAATTAAATATTTTCTTTGTAGTTACTATAGGTATTTTGAGTATTAAATATTTTGTAACAAGTATTAAAATATTTCAGTATTGTTTGATAATAAAAGAAAAATGATAGAAGGGAAAACAATCTTAAACCATACCAACTTGGTATCAATTAGGGATTCTATCCTACTTTATCTATGTGTGAATTATACCTAGGAAGATTCTCATTCAGGTCATGGTTGTCCCAAAGGTGCTTTTTTGAAGGCAACAAGAAGAGATGCAAAATAGCATGGTTGCCCATAGTGAAAGTGGGACATGTTAAGCCAAGCACAATAATAAGCAGGCAAAAATCTACATTTAGATTTACAATGATCAGTAATAATCTGTAAATTCTGGTTAACAACTCAAGACATTGAGTTTTTATCTGCAGATTATTAAAACCAGCACTGTTAGATCATGAGTATCACAACCTTTGCCAATATTTCAATCACTGCTATTTCCATTCTCATCCTATTGTCACAACAAAAGATTACATGTTGGAACCAAATGGAGATGATGACAAATTATGAAATAACTTTATAAATAAATATATTGGGGAACTGTCTTTCAGAATGTCTTGGATATCAGGATTGCCCATCAAGGATATTTTGACCCAAATAACTTAAAGTTTGGTGAAGTAAAAGTCTTAGGGGCCCAATTCAACTCTTCTCGAAGTGTGGTTGTACTTCAGAATGATGCAATCATTCCATCACCTCACAAAGTAATGTATAACTCTACAAATCAGGTAAGGAAATAATAATAATTTTGGCATTTAAAAAGAGAATAGTATTATCCCTGTTCTATTAGACCAACGCTTTTTGAGATTCAGGATCCAGTTTCCCACAGTGACTATGTGGCTGCCTGTGGAAAATTACCAAGGAATATATGATGGCTTCTCCATTTTGTGGTTTTTCATTACTTGCATTAAGTAATATGATATCTGTGACCCTCAAGACAATATGATGACTAATAAATCAACATAGATGAATTTTTAATGAACTCAGTTAACTCTGTTCTGAAGCCATCTGTGCCAGCCATAACTACTTACTATGGATACAATTCACTAGTGTTCTGATGCACTGTAGTCTTCAGAACTGATGAAGATGAAGTTATGTGGAGTAATAGAGGCATCCTTTTTATCTGTATATTATGGCACAGAACTGGCAGACCTAATGAGAACAGGATGAATGGGTGGCATAATCAATTGAAGGAGAATTAATCATAGTGAAAAGCAAAGTGATTAGATCTGAGTGGAGGTGAAATGTTTCCTTCCCCAAATTCCATTGTTTTCTACTGAATATATAGACTTGTACATCTTTTATAATATGATAAATCAATTGTACTTCATATAAATGATTTTCTATTTATATACAGGAACATTAAACTAAGTTTACCATCTCCACTGTTTTGTTTCCAAAGGCAATGCATATTACAGATCTTCACCTTTTCCTGGGTCAAGCTTATACACTGCGATGGAACTAGCATCTCTTATATGACAATTTTGTTATCTGTACCTATCACAAGTTGATTGACTCCATTACTGAGTAGATTTGACTTTGCATGTTTCAATAATTAAAGGGTAGAAGTCCATATTTCATCCTAGATTCATCCATAGTGCAACTTGTTCAACCCAATGATAACACAACTTTGATAAACTTATCTCAATCTCAACTTTAATAATTGCATAAATGGTTCATTGCAATTTCAGTTCAGCACTTTAAAACATATGGAAATCCTTGTGAGTTTTAAATGTTTTTTTCACAGAAGACTCCAACAATACATAATTTCTGAAAAGGGGGAAAAAGGTTTTCTACATGGAAAACCAACTTATGTTCTATACCTGTTAATACTGCATTAGAATTGCCATTCTTTGAATTGCACATAACTTGGTATATTTGCTGTTTATAAGGTCTTGTGAATGAGTGCTATTAGACTGTATTATTGTAATTTGAGTAAAAGTCAATATTGGAACCAGAGCTCTTGTATTATTTTTCATTAAATATATTGTATGAGGAAGATCTGAAGATTCAGTTAAGCCTTAACAGCTTGTCCCTAAAGAGTTCTTTTATGCCATCATTTTCTCAGCTTCTAAAGAACCACTCAGTTAAATTTTTTGGTCAAATATTTCATTTTGGATAAAAAAACAGACAAACCACTTTTAAAATGTATGGCTGCATATGGGAGGTAAACATTAGGGAACTGATAAAAGGATTAAGGTAATTGTTGCTTATGTCAGTAGATAGCTGAGGATGCCTCCATGCATATTTGAATTCAATGGAACTTAGTTCCACATAATTAAAATGTAATTCTTCACACACCTATTTGGAAGAAAATCCTGATAAGCTGAGAATAACTTATATTTTTTTGAAAAATGCATTTGGCTTATCTTTAAGATACTGTTTTATGTCATACATTTATTTTTATTGGCTTATCAATTAAGTAATTCCTATCATTTTACTATTTGTGTGTGATAGAGCTGAATTTAAATATCTTTTGGTTTAGCTGATTTTGAAGGGAGAAGTTTGAATATTTCCTATAATTATGTCATCAAAATCAAATTGGTCTATATTTTTCAATTGCAACTAAAGGTAAAACTCATTTGTTTTTTTAGAAATTATTTCTATATAGTTTTTTAATAATGCTGCATTCTGGTGGATTGACTGAATTTTGATATTACTAATTTTAATGTTGTAAGATATTCACAGACCACTGTGGATGGAGAATAACTAGGAGTATTTAAGAATTATTAAATGAATAAATACATAGATAAAAAAAATGATGTTTGTGATGTTGTGATGTAAAAAAACGATGTTATGCTTGCATTGCCATGAAGAAAAATTCAGGCACTCTATAAATCAAAATAAACATTCATAAATCATTAACAAATAGAAATAAGGCTATAATATGAATTAGCATTATATATGCACACACACACACATTTAAGGGGACACTTTATTCCAAAGCTATAATGAGAAAACTATAAAATTTGATCCCTGGAAGAATGATTGGTAAAGTCTTATTAGTGCATTGCTGGCACATGAAATAAAGGAACAAGGTGAGGGAATGTCTAAGTAAACACAGACAGAGTTTTAGAATAGTATAAACAATTCATCATAAGGATATTGATTTTGATTATTAAAAGTAATACAGTTACTGGCAATATTTGATATGAATTAAAGCCATCTTCATAAACAGGAAACGGTTTCCTTTCTTTGAGAAACTTATTGGCACATAAATAACAATATTATCTGAAATGCCCCTCAGTGTTGTCCAAGCCAGAAACTGGGAAAAATTGAAATCAAGCACCCAAGAACTCAATACCAAGCCAGTCCTCCTTCTCAACCCACCTACCCCATTCCACCCCAAAGTGTTAAGAAATAAAAAATAAAGCTCCCCCATTTTTACCCAGTTCTGTTCTGATTTGAAATCATGTACATTGACTTTAGTCAAAGTGATAGCCTTATATAGCTCTACAAGTTCTTCTGTAGTTCTGTGTGTCATCCTGAGCAGTATTATGCTGCATGTTTGAAGTGATTTTAAGAGAGAAACCACCCTTGACAAGATTTTTTTAATGTCCTGAATCTTTTGTGTTTCCAATTTCTGGTGAAGTGTAAGTGAAACCCAGAGCTTTAGAAATGGTTTTGGTACCATTTTCATACGGATAATCATCAAGAAATTTGAATAAACTGAGGTCTTCAGAAATTGTTTGTGAATGGCACATGAAGCAACTTTAGAATCTATGTGGTGAGAATCTCATTGTGATAATGACCACTAAAGTTTGTGAGAATTACGTAGGGCAGATATGACCCATATCAGCTCAAATTCTTTAAGAATACACACCCATAACTTCCCCAATCACATTTTAAATAGAAGTAACTGAATTATAGCAATGATTTATCTTTTTACATTGGTACTTTACAAGTTGGATATGCTGCATTTGAAATACATGATAAAAGCTTCACATTTGTTTACTAATGTATTTTATATATGAATCAGATTCAGTTATGGATTTTAATCTCAATGGATATAGTATTTTGTAATATATCTATCTATCTATCTATCTATCTATCTATCTATCTATCTATCTAT